TCTTAGTATGTATCTACAACAAAGTTCTGAACTACAGCCAAACTACCCATTTTAGAAAATATCAATATTTATAATAACTAAACAAAACAAAAAATGTTAACTACATAATTTGATTATAGTACTCACCTTATCCTCACTAGTGTGCAGATCTCTCAGAGGAATGTGCAATGTACTCATCAGAGGTTCAGGAAAGGAAAGAGGAAGTACAGCCATAGCTTCAGGTTTTTTGGGTGATTACAGAGAATTAACTAATCCTCTGTAATTAATTAATTTTTAATTAATTTTTGGATTAACTTCTTAAAAGGAACAAATATATTTTCTCCATTACCTTTTATGAGTAACCCCTTTTGCCTTGTTTTCTGGAATAAATTAAGGGTGTTATGTTAAGGGTAACATGCAGGGAATCAGTAGACTTTCATTTATGTGCAAGTGTGTACATACCAGTATACTCATATACACACAAATTTTTAAGCATGACCATTATTATTACTTTGTATTCTTTACATATATGTAAATCCTGAGAGCTTTTCTGTATTCATGTGATTGGTAAATATGATACAGTCTTCTATCATAAGTTATGCATCATAATTTATTCTTGTGCAAAATGCTATTTCTTTTGAATGTGTAAACTAAGAAGTTGTAAAAAGTTTAAGATTAAAAACAGTCATGTGTTCTTCTGTTTACTTTGTTGTGATGATCTATTTCTGTGAAGTGCTTTTCTCTGTGGACAGATTTAGAAAGTGAGCACAGGAAGGAGACCCATCCTTTCTATTATCACCCTCCCAGCACACTGCTTCTCTCCAGCTTGCTGTGCTTTTCCTCAGGCAGTCAGGTATCATTTCTGAGTGCTGCCTCCTGGCCCTCTAATCCTTGAATGGGTTGGAGGGAACAGAGCTGGTAAGGTTGGGGCAGAAGTGTACAAGAAGGCTCCAGCACTGGCTGATATAGAAATAGTTCCTGCATGGATAGGACATGACCTAACAGTGAATTTTTTAATTTGTTTGTCTTGTTTAGTAAAAACCTGTGGGTCTCAGAGTTAGGCCCCATTAAGGGTTTAAACATTATTTCCAAGGAACTTCTTAATTTGATACCATCTATCAAGCAGCAAGGAGAATAACCACTAAGACTTTGGGGGCTTGTTATCCTGTGTCTTTAGTTCTTAATTCCTTTTTATATTTTCAAGATTATTATATTGAAAATTCGGGAAAGCATATGTCAGTCACTTTGTGTCTGTTGTCACAATATCCCACAAATATTACTTAAATATTTTATAATTTCTGTATTTTATGTTTTTAGTCCATCTACTCCTTTTTTGGTTTTATGAAGCAACAGGAACCAAGTACAAACTAACAGGTTCTAGAGCGGGTTATATAAAGACATATAATTAAAATAATAGTCCCTCTCATGTGAGGCAATTGCCTAAGTGTAAAGCGATATTAAGTACTAGTAATTTTTTTATAGTTTGAATCCAACTGTATACAGTTATTTAAAAATTCACAAGATACGCATTTTCATCCTAAATACTTCTTGTATGTAAAATAATACATCCCGACAAGAGAACTTTGATGTATATGGTTAAATGACTTATTTCCAGCCTTGTACGTCAAAAGATAACCAACCTACACAAATTAAGTTCAAGGTTTTAATATTAGATATTTCCAAGATTTACCTTTGTGAATTGTCCTCCATGAACAAAAAATACGAGGTTAATTCTTCACTTGTTTAGTAAGGATTGTTGGCAGCATAGCAAACTGGAGGGGAATGAGAAGCCCTGGAAAATATTCAACTAGCAGGCCTTTTCCTTGTAGGAAGCCGGAGGTTGTAGGAGTGGTGGTGCCGGAGCCCCAGACCTCCTTCAATTCCTTATTGGAGAGCAACGTCATCAACAAAAGTCTTCTCACCTGCATCTGTGTCCATGCCTCCTATTACTCAGTAATGTTTTATAAATGAGAGTATTCTCTCAGTCTCTGCTAACAGAAACCCCAAAGCATATTAACTCATTCACCCATAAAAAATGATTCCGTTCACAACTAGTATCACTGAACTGAAGCCAATAACCTTTAACAAGCCAATTAGAAAAGTAGAACTGCTGAGTTCAGCACTATTGCTCAGATTCTTAAAATTATCAGGCCTAAAACATGGTGATCACACCTTTTGCTCTCAGAGCTTTGGGGATGGCACTGGGCTGTGCTGGCTTCTAACCATTGTACCTCCCCAGCATTCTCTTTGAAAAGTGTTAGGCATCATATCTACTGAGCAGATTCAATGTTTCTGTCTCTGATGCTATGTCTATTCTTGCAAAAAAGCTACTCTGTTTTACAACATGCTGCTAGTTTGTGTATGTATGGCAGTTTTAATTAATTAAAACTGCAATTAATAGTTTTTTTCTTTGTGGCTCCTTTCCTCCCCTCACTAGCTATGCTCAGTATCCAAAGAGTATAGGCAATCTAGAAGACTTCAAAACATGCTTTAAAAATCATAATTGAGGACATGCCTGTAATCCCAGCACTTGGAAGGCAGAGACAGGAGGGTCACAAGTTTGAGTCCAGCCTGGGCTCTACAGTCTCAAAAAACCAAGAGCTGGAGATGTGTTTCTGTCATATAGAGTGCTTGCCTAGAATTCACAAGACCTGGGTTTAATCTCCAGCAAAAAATACACACACACACGCACATGCACACACACACACACTCACACACACACACATCAAGGTTGATGAAACGGGAAGGTATTCTGCGTGGATTGGCTGGTACACAAGGGCTAGATTTAGAAGACTCTGTCACAGCAATACTTAAAAAACTCATTGCCTAGACTTCCCACCACTGAGATCAGCAGACTGATTTGTCAGCATCTGAAAAAGCTCCCATGGTTAAGAATCAAGTCCTTAAAGCACATATAGAAATAAGTCAGGCTTCACACTTAGGTCTTATTCTCAAAGAAAATGGAGGAAGGAAACTTCTGGGCAAGCTCTCAATTGGTGGACTTGGTGAACCATGAATATGTCTCTTTTTCTCCTACCCCATCCTGCTAACCTAGCACATTTAATTTACAACATCCATAATTTATGCCCCGTGTTTCATTTATCCTGAAATTGTGCATGCTCTTCAGTCCTGATGTTACTCAGTGAACTGAGTGGTTCACTTTTATCCTGCATCCCAGCCATTCAATACAATATCTTTACATCCATCAGTAGATTCTAGAATTAGCAAGAGAATGGAGACAGTTTTCTCATGTAATACGTACTTTGGAATTCTGCCTTCAGCACTGATTCCAGTAGAGGAGTTTTCTATGGGTTTTGTTTTAAAAACTATTTTGATAACCAGTAGCAAATTACTTACCCTATACAAATTAAGTCTCTTTTTCTTTAAAGAGAAGATAATAAAGTATACTTGGACCCTAAACAGGTAATGTGTCTAGCATACTGATCAGTGTATACATGGGCATGGATAAACTGCCTTAATGTATTTTCTGATGCTATAACAGAATACCACAGACTGGGCAATTTATAACCAATAGAAGTATATTCAGTTCACTGTTTTGGATGCTGGAAAGTACAAAAGCATGGCCCTGCCATCTAGTGAGGGCCTTCATACTATATCATAACCTAGCAGAAGGACAAACAAGCATTCTGAAGACAGACAAACCAGGCCAAACTCATCCTTTTATCATCCCTAGCGATTGTTTTTTTTTCTAATTCCTTGGTGAAAATCCATTCTTGCCAAAATGAACTTAACCCATTCATGAGGGAAAAATGAGTTTTGGAGGAGACCAAACATAGCAGTAGTTGTTGTTGTTGATATTACTATTATTTTTGGTATATGAAAATGATAGCTATTAATATGATAGCAGAATCATCACATTCCTAAATTCCTCAGTTTAGTGGCTTAGTTTTCCTCCATTTCTTCTGTCATCAAAATATGTTATAAATGTTATTAAGTAGGGATTTAGGATATGTTCTATATTGTTTTATTAAAGTACATATTCCTGTTGTACTTAACAATAAAAGGTTAAGCGTAGGGCTATGAAAGACACTGAAATGTTATGGTCTCATTTGGGTTTGGGTTTGGTTTTTTCTCATTATGCAGTATATTAAACACTACAAAACTAGATCTGAATTGGGTGTCCTATAGGCAATTTATGCCCACTTTATCTAAAAATTAATTTATTCCTCGTCCTTCCTTACTTCTTCTCTTCTTCCTAGCCTTTCTTTAAAAAAAAATCTCATTCCTTCTTCATGCATGTCCTGGTTACCTATTACTGCCAGGTTCTATCCTAAGGAATGACTGTGCAATTATAAATAAGATAGTTAAAACCCCTGCCGCATCTATTTATAACCTAGCTTAATACACATTAAAAAATGAGTTACTGAAATAATTATTTCAAGATAAAGTTGATGAGTACATTGAAGAAAGCTTGGTACTCATGAGAGTAAAACATGCAAATAAGAGGTAGACCCAACTTAGTCTTAGTCTTAGCCTTAGGGATGGGAAAAGTTACATATGCCAGACCTGAATTGAGACATAAAGGCTGTGGCAAGGAAGTCTCTAGGTAGAAGTATCATAATTTTCTCTAGACTTATACACCCTTTCCTTTTTTTCTGTTTCATTTCAAACAAAATCATCCTCCTCATCAGTAACCCAGAGAAAATTTTCATGTATCTTTGAACTTATACTTTATCCATGGATGCTAAAAAATTAACTGTAATTCTTTATTTCTAACCAATTTCATCATCCATTACAGTAACAAGTCCTCAAATTCTTCATCTGTAAATTTTCACATATTTCATATTTCCTCAAAATGTAGTCAGCTTCCAGTGTTTCTTGTTTCTGCATCTTCATTCATCTATTCCCATGAATACTGAGTTCCCAGTCTCGCAACATTAAGCTACATAGTTTTTAGAGGTTTATTTTTTTTCTTTCATTCAACAGATATTTAAGGAACCCTTTCTTGCATGCCAAGACTGTTAGCACCATTATCACTGAAGTAGATAAGATAAGTAAGCATGACTGCCACAGAGCCTGCAGATGACTACCAAGTAGGGACCATATGCTAATACATAGGGAAAGTCTCCTCTTCCTAGAGAAAGGACTATTTGAACTTAAGCCTTAAGGGGTGGGCAGGAATAAGCCAGGTACAGGTGAAAGCATGGAGTTCTATTAAACATATCAATCCAGTCAAAAGAGACAGCAAATGCAATGAGTGGCAGTCTCGAGTGAGTGGAAAGTAATGACAGTAAAAATGAGGTGGCTCCAATTGTGAAGGAACCAGCCTACCACCTTTTTTTTTTTTATTCATATGTGCATGCAAGGCTTGGTTCATTTCTCCCCCCTGCCCCCACCCCCTCCCTTACCACCCACTCCGCCCCCTCCTTCTCCCCCCACCTCCTCAATACCCAGCAGAAACTATTTTGCCCTTATTTCTAATTTTGTTGTAGAGAGAGTATAAGCAATAATAGGAAGGAACAAGGGTTTTTGCTGGTTGAGATAAGGATAGCTATACAGGGCATTGACTCACATTGATTTCCTGTGCTTGGGTGTTACCTTCTAGGTTAATTCTTTTTGATCTAACCTTTTCTCTAGTACTTGTTCCCCTTTTCCTATTGGCCTCAGTTGCTTTAAGGTATCTGCTTTAGTTTCTCTGCGTTAAGGGCAACAAATGCTAGCTAGTTTTTTAGGTGTCTTACCTATCCTCACCCCTCCCTTGTGTGCTCTCGCTTTTATCATGTGCTCATAGTCCAATCCCCTTGTTGTGTTTGCCCTTGATCTAATGTCCACATATGAGGGAGAACATACGATTTTTGGTCTTTTGAGCCAGGCTAACCTCACTCAGAATGATGTTCTCCAATTCCATCCATTTACCAGCGAATGATAACATTTCGTTCTTCTTCATGGCTGCATAAAATTCCATTGTGTATAGATACCACATTTTCTTAATCCATTCGTCAGTGGGGGGGCATCTTGGCTGTTTCCATAACTTGGCTATTGTGAATAGTGCCGCAATAAACATGGATGTGCAGGTGCCTCTGGAGTAACAGTCTTTGGGTATATCCCAAGAGTGTATTGCTGGATCAAATGGTAGATCGATGTCCAGCTTTTTAAGTAGCCTCCAAATATTTTTCCAGAGTGGTTGTACTAGTCTACATTCCCACCAACAGTGTAAGAGGGTTCCTTTTTCCCCGCATCCTCACCAACACCTGTTGTTGGTGGTGTTGCTGATGATGGCTATTCTAACAGGGGTGAGGTGGAATCTTAGCGTGGTTTTAATTTGCATTTCCTTTATTGTTAGAGATGGTGACCAGCCAACCATCTTAAGTGATTTAGACTTTTTTCTAAAAGTACTAAGAGCTGCTGAAAGGTTCTAAGCAGGGCAGTGAGGGGAATCAGAAACATCCCAGCCAATGACAGTTGAGGACTGAAATGAAGGGGGCCCTGGAATAAGAGGAGAGGAAAGGGGGAAATTTTTGTAAGATAAGGAATTTGTCTCTCTTTTTTTCTTTCAATTGGTCTTCTCACCTTCAGTGTCTTTCTCGCCCATAACCCAAATGATCTCTGACATACTGCTGCCAGATAAACTCCATGGCCCACTAAAGGAATTTTAATGGCATGTCTACTGTTCATGGAATAAAATCAGAATGTCTCACCCTGTTATTCAAAGCTTATAGTAATCAGGACTCATCTCTAGTTCACGGCTTTATTTTCAGTACTCCTCTGAATATCTTTTAGCCTATAACCATACACTCCACACTCCCCAACTTTCCCCACAACATACGTTGTCTTGAGCTCCCTCCCTCTTTCCTCTTTGCCTGCACACCGCACCTGTTCCTCCTCATGGCAGAACTGAACTAATTTCACTGTAAGTTGTTCCTCCCTTCCTCCATGCCCCCCAAATGCTACGGTTTACGCAATGATTAGTGAGCCCTAATTAGAGTTTTCCAATGGATTATTCTGGGTTTTATCATCATTATTATTATTGTTGTCATTGATGAGGATGATGTTGTTGTACTTGCAAATGTACAGTGTAACATTTGCAAACGTTCTTACAATGTATCATAGTTGAATTCACCCCATCCAATTTTGTCCTCCATCCTGTTCTGTGATTCCTAGAATAGTTTCAACAGGTCTCATTTTTCCATTTATATACATGTGTATGTAATATCAAATGGATTATTCTGAAGATAACACTTTCTTTTAAAATTAGCTGAAATAGGTTATTAGGCAAATATTTAGTATGTATACATTTAATGTTCATAAAGCACATGAAATGTACACAGAAACATGCCCTTCTTCAATTTTACATTTGATTCAGAGACATACCTGTACATATAACTAAAATATAAGATATAATAGAAAAGTGTACAGTCAAAAGGTGATTATGAGATATTTGGTATATTGTAAGAATGCTTGTAAATGCCACAGTGTACCCCCAGCACAATAATTTAAAGAAGTGATTATAGTAATTCAAAAGAAGGAATGGCTGGAATGGTCAGAAAATCATTGAAATAATGGGATGTGTTTACACTGCGATGAAAATGATAACTTATGCAACAAAAAATAAATAAAGCAACTCTCCTAATACTTTTTGCCAATACTTACTCAATATTCACTGTGCCAAGCACTGTTCAACTGCCTAACTCACACTTCTACATTTAAACTTTAAAATAGTCCCAGGAAGACATATTATTATTATTGTGTCCACCTAATAAATCAGACATTTGAGGTATAGCAAAGAAATATTAAGTAATTTGACAAAGCTATAGCTAATAAGGAAAACAGCCAGTATAAGAACGCAGAGAAACTGGATTTAGTGTCCGTACTCTCCACCACCACCCACATCACCACATTGCCCTTGGTACACCATACTAGGAATTCAGTTCACTGTTTGCTAAACTGTTTCTGATAATTCATTTATTAAGTTCACTAGAATTTAATTTTCTGTTACTTTTTAAACTTCTACATCCACAGATGCTAAAAATTTAACTCTTATTCTTTTATTTATTTCTGAGTTTCCATCATCCTTACAAGTTCTCAAATTCTTCTTCACCTATGAAATAAAAGTTTGAAGTCTATCAGTAGTTTCCAAACAGTACATGAGTAATTCTTTGATGAGGGACAAACAATGTCAAAATACATTGTTTCTATGTGAAGATGGCATAAGGAAACCCACTGAAACCAGTTGAAAATACTCGAGGAGAAGTCAGGAAAAAGGAAGAGTAAAAGAGGGGATTAATCTGATCAAAGTCCTATATGACACGTGTAAAATACCATGGTGAAATCTCTTTGTACAATTGATATACACTAATAAAAATCAATCGAGAAATACAGTTATCAATTTTTATAAAGAATAATACATTTAACACATTTGTGTGAGACTGCCCCACTATCCAATCAGAAGGAAAAATAACATCAGGATTAAAATAGCAGAAATAAAAATTGAGAAAATGCAAATATTTGTTAAAAGATGATATTTTGACTACCTGTGCCAATAAATTTGGAATTCTGAAGAAGAAAAAGAGAATTTGAAATTCTCTGACAGTGACTCATATCCACAAATAAAGATTGCCCACCTGTGGGGTGAAACCTAATTTTAAAAAATTGTTTTAAATTTTTTTCTTAAAAATTATTATTTTAAAATAAAAAATCATGTAGACTTCTGTTGTAATCATTCACTTTCAATCATTCATTGCCCAAATAGAGTTCACTATATACCTGGAAGCTTTATAATAACTCCGAGAATTTCATAACCCTCAGGAATCCACTGTTGTAGGATAACTTTTAAATCCATCTTCACTGGAAATATTTTGAGATTTTATGTGTTCTAGATTCTAGTCTGTAAACTGTAGTTTCTCTCTGCTGTGAGAAGGAACATGTATACTCTCCAAATCCTTCAATCATGTATCAAGTTTCCTATTTGTTTATTACCTTAACTTTTTTTCTCTTGCTTAAATTCCTTAATTAAGCTTGCTTTTACAACTCGTAATTACTATTGGACTCTTGTACAAAGGAACTATGTCTAAAATATATGTGCTAAAACCTGGCATATAAATTTATGGAATTTAATCTGCTTTGTGAAAATAGTAAATAAAAAGCATTTATATATATAAATATATATATATATCCAAATCCAAACATTTTTTCTGGTAAATCTTGAAGGCAAATCTCTGTCTATATCTTTACTATATGTAGTGAATTAGAAATTTAAGGACAAATACTGTACATAAGTAGAGAAAGAAAGATACATTTTTTTACTTACCTCCAGAAACACACAAGGCAATATTATCTCTGATCCATGCCTATTTTAAGAGTTTCTCCTTGAGACTTTTGTGAAGTACTTGCTCCATTTCTTGAGGATTGCATTCTAATTTAATACCTTTATGTAGTAGAAATATTTGAGAAGTACTAGGAGAGAGTAATAGGCAATGTCATTGTTTGTTCTGAAGGAGACAGTGGCTCCACTTTAAAAGTATTTACAAGAAAATGTTAGCTCCCAGCAATATACACATCTATGGTTTGAAAAATCAAAAGTAACAGTCAGAGTTTGGCAGTAGCTATCTTTTCTGTTATGGTGGTCTTGATTTCAGCAGAACTATCTCAGGCCAGCTGCTCCAGCAGAAAATTATAAGACTGTTTTTCAATAGCTTTAAATCTTTTAATGTTCGTTAATAACATTAATCTTTTAGTACTACACAGGGTCCCATAGACAGGGCAAAATAATTCTGATTCTAAAAAAGGATTGCATAAAATGTCACAAGAGCACATCGAAGGCAATAGAATGTCTTACACATGCCTTTTTACTGTCCTCCTCAATACTGGCCACTTGTTCCTTTGTGCCCCACAGATGGATAGCACAGCAATGTGGTTTGCATGTTTCTCTTTCCCTTCTTTTGGTCTTTGTGTCTTGTATCAAGAGCACATAGCACAGTGTCTAAAATATTTTATTTCTGGTAAATCAAACTCTGGAGTGAGAAGAGAGGAGTTAGTGAGGTCATTGATCCAGCGCTAAGTAGTAAAAATGAAATGGTGGTTTGTTTGGGGGTATGGTACAGGGTAATCCTGTCAGGAAGATCTCAGACAGGGGAAAGCCATCATTGAAGTGTAGGTAGAAATAAGTGAGGCTCTGAGGAGGGCAAAAAGCACTAAGCTGGATCACTCCCTTTGTCGGGAAGTAAAGAAAGTTACATTTGAATATTCTAGAGACTTGGGACAGTCGATAGAAATTCCTCAAACTTAGGGTTAAAGAATTTAGATTTTATTTGAAAGTAGTAGGAAGACTATAGCCCTTCAGTCTCAATGAGTGATCAAAATAACTTTTTAAAGAATTCTTTGAGTGTGTGCTTATATCAACGTTCACATATATGAAACATCTCATGAAATACTGACTTTAGTGTGGGTCATCAGTTGATCCTAAAGGTCTCTTCTTTCTCTTCTAATCCCACAGGTTGTCATTTTGTACTTTGAGCCAAGTACATTTCGCTGCATCCTTCTAAGATGGGTCCGTCTTCTCGGGTTTGCCACTGTTTATGGAACTGTCACTCTCAAGCTTCACAGGTATATTATGTTTTATTCATCTTCATTCCTTGGAAGGATAAGATTGGTTGGCTTAGCATGAAATTGTAATTGCTTACTAGCTAAAAACAGGAAGGAATACAAAGACAATAGAGCTGAAGCAATCATTCCTGTCCAAGCTACAATAGAATCCTGTGTAGGAGAGTTCAACGATATGCTTGTTTGACAAAAACTACTGCTTCCCTCCCCAAGTTCCATATCCTATGGTAATTCTGCTGATATTTTAGGGTAAAGTTCAGAATTATAGAGTTCTTGACTTTCCTCCTTAACTACTATGCTCCAGTGATTATAAACCTTGAAAATGGGGTATACTATAAAGTTCTTATACTTAGTTTTAAAACCACCTAAATACTAGGAAGAATGAGGCAATAAAATAAACTACCTATTCACAAAGGCTAGGGATGGCCAGATATTGTTCTAAGGCTTTCTCTTGCTCCCTTTTTCTGTGTTTAAAGAAAGTCTGAGTAAAGTTGTGCCAAAGAGCATAGTATAAAAAACAAAACAAAGCAAAACAAAAAAACCAAAAAACAACCACAACCTCCTGTAGAGTAAACACTGTGTATTAGTCAGCTTTAAAGCTGCTTTGATAACCACAGTAAGTCATTCATATTTTCATGCTAATTTGCCCATGTGTTTTGCAATAAAAGTATTCTCTCTCTCTCTTTCTCTCTCCCCCCCTCCCTTTCATTTTTGCACTTAATAACTGAGAATGATCTAGATTATCTTTGAGGAATAAATATGAATCTCTTTGATTCTCAAGATTCCTGTCTTATATAGATATACATGGTAAAGTATAAAGAATTTGGACTGGATTGCAGGAAGTCCAATTTAAATCATAATATAACCCCTGACTCTAAGAGGTTATGGGTCTGTCTGTCATGGAAAAGGAAAGAATTCATCCCATGTATATGTTCTTTCTGACTCTCCTGGCAGCCTCTCAGGTACTTTTATTTTATTGTTGTGTCCTTCTACTCTTTAAGCAGCTTCCAGTTTCCACTCCCTACTTGATGCTTACCAGAGGAAACAGACATCAGTGACAGCATAGAGTGGTCCTCTAGAAATTCTGAAAGAACAGGTGCTCTCTCTTAACATGAAAATGACCACTCTTCTTACCAGTTTAACACTCAATGTCTGTCCTGTTCTCTGTTGTAATACCTTCATTGCTCTATGGTTTTCTATTTAATTGTCTTCATTACTTTAACTTATCTTTTCCTTGAAGTGAGAGTCTTCCCGTGGAGTCTCTCAAGCACAATGCCTGACATACAGGAGATCTCAGTGCCCGTTGGAAGATGGGCACTGAGTGAAATGTCAGATGAAGAACTAGAAGCTGCTTTCCAGAGTTCTCTCTACATTAATACACTCATATTCTCTGAATCACTGTGTGCTACCTAAGTGTGTTCCCAAACACACAGCACCACGGTCTGCAAAGGGTATTTGTTGCAGTGTAAACACAGTGTTATATAGTACTGAATCATAATATGAGGAAATTACTTCCATTCAGACTCTCTTTCAATCCTTCTGATTATTTCCAGGAGAAAAATTAGTTTAGAACCAGCAGGTCTTTAAAAAAAAATGACACCTGTGTAACAGAGTGGCTCAAGCTTCAGCCTCAGAGCTTTCACTACAATGCTGTCTCCTTCAGATTCCTTCTCTTTGTTTCACTATATTTATTTTTATGGTTACTTTTTATTTCTTGTCAATTAAGATAATATAAAGTTTCCTTTAAAATATTTTGAATCAATAAATAAGAACTGACTTAAGGAAAATACTAGCTAGTGCACAAATACAGCAGATACTACACTTGATCTTAGCCAAAAGGCCGAGAAGCGATGCACAAATACAGCAGAACTCTTGAGAGTTCATCATCATCTCTTTTGTTTATTCTAAAGACTGGAATTAAAACTATTTTCTCTCTACTGTGTCTCTAAAAGTCATTGCATGAAGAATTACTCCAACAGAGGCTTAAATTGAATAGATTATTTCTAATTTAATGAGCTGAGTTATTCCTATCCTGAATGAACCACATGGCTTTACTACTGATTTTGGGTCTTCTTTTTCTGTAATGCTTAAATCTAACTGATTATAATATTGTTTATCTGGAAACTGATCATCAGCTTCCCAGAGGAATATGAGCCATCTGAGGGAAGGGCTGGCTGACCCAGCTTTTCATCTTCCATCTCTAGTGCTGCCCTTGGCCTATACTAAGCACTGGATATTTGTTGAATGAATGGATGTGTGGATGGTTGTAGTTAATGGAGCTGTGAGAGATATTTTCTGGCTGATATCTCTTATGGTCAAGCAATGTGTGACCCTAAAGAAAGGAAGTCCAAGTTTTGCAGTGACAAGGTAGAGAGGAATGACACAAATTCTGGCAATTCCAAAGTCAAATTTTAGTTCTGTTATTGTCCATTTATGCAATGAGGAATCCCTAAGAATTAGTTTCCTCATCTGTAAATGACTAATATGTCACCTGTAAATTTGTAAGGATTATGTATAATTTGAATGTTTATAAATATATCAAATTGGATATTTTGGTTGCAAACCACAAAAACTGACTATGGATAAATGAAGCAAAAATTTAGTCTTTTAGAAGAATACAGGGAAGGTCATAGAATTAAAGGGAAAGCTACATAATCAGGCTTTGGGAATACCTGATTTGGAGTATGTTGAAGGATCAAAGCAGCCTGAGCTAAGGCATAATGTCTCTTGAATACTGTAGCCCCATTTTCACCAGAATTTAATTTTTCAAGATTTTTTTAAGTGCAAGTAAGTCATACCTCTCCAGACAAAACATTCTGAGGAAATTATGGGTATGCATATGAAATGACTGTTATCATCCCTTGAAGATAGAATAGGCAAGAAAGCCCTGAAATTCTACTTTATTTACATCATTTATCTCAAGGCTTAGTGGAAATACTAAGCATTCTTTGTTACCTGGGTCTTTTGCTGATTGATTATAGTGTTTATAGAATTCTTAGCACACTAAAAACTTGAACAAACCTGAAAAAGAAATCGAACTTCACTTTGCCCCTAGAAATGGTACTGTTCATCTGGAATAGACTTGAAGTCTTCATGCACTTGTACCAAATCTCTGGTCTTTTTCTCTGACAGTGTCTTCTGTATCTGAGAGTCATATAGCCAAAGACTGCCATGACATTCCAGAGGAAAATTATAAAGCAGCCCTTTGATTGTTAATAGTGCCACTTAGGAGAGAAGCATTTTGGTCGTGGAGGGTGGAGTGATCTTTCCCTTCAGGAAGGAGGATTTTGTCACTGATCTTGTTTGGAATCATCAACATCTGTGGTAACAAAAGGGAGGCCAACTTTATTTATTTATTCATTCATTCTATTTATTGTGCTGGAGATTGAACCCTGGGCCCCATGCATGCTAGGCATAGACTCTACCACAGAGCTATACAACCAGCCCCAGACCAACTTTCAGTTATCTTTATTATTTCCATAGATTATCTGCAGACCACAGACCCCCTTATCAGCAGGTCATCAAGGTAATGAAATGCATTTCAACTGAAACTGTTCCTCTTTGGAGAAAGAGAAAGGGAGGAAGAGAAAGAGAGGGGAAGGAGGGAGGGAGAGGAAGGGAAAAAGAGAGGGAAGGAAGGAGGGAGGGAAAAAATGGTACAAGTTTTAGCTAGCTCAATATGGATCATAAGGAAAAGAAGAACTGAAGTAGGCAAAACAAAGAAGATTCATTCATTACAAAAAGGAATTTCCTTCAAGTAACCATAAATACATTTGACTTAGTTCATGAATGATGTAGAGCAAATCTAAAAGGACATCTTGCACTTCCTTGGTGAGTTCACAGAACACCTGCTAAGCTAGTTTGTTGTCGTTTGTTTGTCTAAGAAACTCAGAAAGGCAATATCTCTAGGCTCAGATAGCCAGGTATATCTTCAGGAGACACCAAGGGGAAATGCTTTTAAATGAGAGAGTATGGAGAGAGATTTTAAAACTTAATGCTAAAAGATTATTTTCCTACTTCCTATAATAATGTTTCTGAAAACACATTAGTTTTCCATTTTTCTAAGGCTAATCAAGAAAAAAAACCAAAGGATTTTTTGTGCTATGTTTCCAATGAATATTTAAGCAAGTTGTGGAGAGACTTCTGGCTGTGGATGGGGACTTGTCATTTCATGCATTATTCAGTACTCCTTGCTCACAGTACAACCCATAGCAGTTTTCTCTACTGTGCTCATTAGCACCAAATATTTACAGTTTGTGGGAAGGTTTATTTTTTATGCATTTAGTTTGCTTCCTAGTAAGTTTTAAAAAGTGACTGGGAGGTATTTATACTGATTTCTTTTATACATTCTTCTATGGGTGCATAAAACAAATACCTGAAATCTTTAAAAAGGCAAGAGGAAAGCAAGTGTTGACACTCTAGAAAAGCTAAGAGCTTGTGATATGATAAAGATGGGCTCTTTTGGCTTAATTTTGGCAATCATCAGAGGCAGAGTATCTTAAATGGAGTGGTAGGCAAGGGCCCAAGGGCTGTTACTTGACTCTGTTGATGAAGTATAGGCCCATCTGTCTACTGGTCAAGACATTGGTCATCCCTCATTTGTAAAATAACCTTCATTTTTAAGCAGCTAAGCAAGTGACTATGGGCTGCCACAACATTCTTTTAGAAGTTTCCTTGCCCAGAGATGAATTTAACATCTTTAACATCTGTATTAGTCTGCTTGCTATAACAAAATATCCAAGGAAAGCTAACTCTATGCTAAAAGAGAGTTTATTTGTCTGACAGTTTTGAAGACTGAAAGTCCAGACAGCATAGTGCTGCCTTGCAAGGTCCCATGGCCAAGGACAACACATCTCCAAATGGGGAGCCAGAGAGCTGCATGAAGCCAGGCCTGTTCTTTTTACAACAATCACCTGTCAGGGACTAAGGCAAGGGGTCCCATGAGAGCTAACCTTTGACCCATATGAGGCATCACCTCTTAAATGTTCCACACTTCCCACATG